TACATCTGAGCAGGACATGGATTTTTATCTATTTTTTTCCAGTGTGTTTGAAGTATTTCATAATTTTTAAATGCACTGCAATAAAAAGACTCAGTGGGAGGTCTAAACTGCCAATTGGGTATTAAATACCAAGGTCAGACCAAATAGAGATCTTGTGAAGTTGTTTAAAGGAACAATTCCATTGGCTTAGGCCCCTTTGGCAGGCCTTGGCCACATGTGGGCATTTAATGGGGGTTGGTTAAGTAAACTGCATAGTTGTAGGAGTTGGACAAGACAGAATAATGTCATATGACAAATAACCTAAGGGGAGATGAGAGTCTTCATTTTCCAAATAGGTGACAGCTTCTGAGACCTTGGGCCTGGGCTGTATCTATACTGAAACCTCAGGATCCCAAACTTGCACTGGTTAGTTCTGGCCTATTGATATGGACTGGAGTGTCATAACCTCTGCATTAGTTAGATTTATGTCATTGCAACAAAAATATCTGATGCAGGACACTTGTAAAGAAAAGAAAGACTTATTTTTGGCTCATGGTTCTAGAGGCAAAAGGGCGTAGTGCCTCCTTTGGCCCAGTTCTTGTGAGGGAGTGCATGGCAATGTTGGAAAGCACATGCCAGATTGAGCATTTATAACTTAAGCCAGGAAACAGAAACATAGGGGGCATGAATGGAACCCCATAGTCTCTTGTGGGCACAGCCACAATGCTCTAAGGACCGCTCACTAAGCCCTACCTCCTAAAGGTCCTACCACCTCTGAATAGTGCTACTTTGGAACTTCTTCTGTCTACTGAGCGACCTCAATAAAGGCCTGGGAAAAACAGACTCCTGCATTCTTCAGCGTGTACATTCTGGCAGAACAGCCTAGAACAGTGGTTCTCAAACAATGTACATTAGATCCATCTGGAGATCTTTCAAAAAATCCCAGTGTTCAAGCCTTATGCCAGCCAGTCCCTTGACATATGGACCAGGGGATGTTGCGCATATTCATGCCATAGCAACTTCTTACTTTGTAAAGGCCACCCCAGGACCAGCAGAAGTGGGGGAGAGGCGTTCCTATCCATTCTGATCTGTTCATTCAGCATGCATGCCTTGGGCACCACTCAGACTTGACACACCTTCTCTTTGTCTTAAGAGTGCTTTGTCCTAATAACCATTCCTCTAGGGGGACTCTCTTGGAGCCTTTGTGATCTGTCTTGATGTTGAAATGGTCCTGGCTCTTTTTCCCTGTGATCAGAAGCTCATTGCTGGGAATTGAGCCCGTGTTTTTGCATCCAAATGACATTTTCTTGATCTCTCTGGGAAAAAAAGGCCAATGCATACCAGATGCATGAGAGAAATATGAAGGTCTTGTTTGTCTCCTTCTCCTAAGCTCAGAGTGGCCTGTGCTTCCTCTCTAGTGCAAGCACTGCCAGCAGGCAGAGACCAGGGACCTGGAAAACATCACCCCTTTTTGGTTTTGGTCTCTGCCCCATTTCCTCCCCTACTAATTCTCTCTGAAGGTTCCTCAAGAGGATGAGATTTGCTAAAGGTACCTTCTTAGGCCCAGTGCCTAGGTTTTTGCAGCTCTAGGTCACAGTTCTCTCCTCCCTCTCATTGGGCCTGTCCTCATCAGGAAGCATTATGTCTGTAGCCATACTGAGTCTCCCTGAGTGCACTCTGCACTAATGCTTCAGCTGAAGAGAAACTGATTACATCTCTCCTTGGTACAAAAATCTCAATTCCCCCCATTCCCCAAAACAGGCTCCCAAGAATCCTGGGCTCTTCATAACTACGTCTCCAGTCTCCCCAGATAGTGGTGTTCTTGCTGCTAACATGTCTCTCTCTCCAAAGATACAATGTCACTCACGTTCCCTCCAATACCCAGGGCCCTTTCATACCCAGTTCTGTAATATACTGTTCCCCAGTTGCTGGGGTACTTTCCCTTTCCTAGTTTATTACCGTAAAAAAAAAGAGTTCTTGTCTGTTCAGGAAAACACTAATGCAGGAGCGTCTTAGCAATGGTGTTGCTACTGAGTCACAGGAAACTTTTAGATCATGGGTGGGAACACAAGAGGACCTTACTTCATTGCTGTCACTTGCCCGTTGAGTAAATTCAGTCAGAGGTTGAAGTCCTGGAAAAAGAAGCTCCCACATTCTTTGGGACATGGGTCATGTGGGCAGGATGGCACAGATCAGTGACTCTCAAACCAGATGCCTGTTAGAATCATCTGGGGGCCTTCTAAGAACCTTATACCAGACAGTACAGAGACCCAGGAAGTTGTATTTCCTTAAGCTTCCAATCTGGCCCTGTGTTTAGGTTCATTTCTCCAAGTGCCAGTTTATGCCTTAGCATCCATCATAAATGGATTTTTGTTTTTATTTTTTTAATTTAAAAAATTTTGCTTATTTTATTTATTTATTTTTACATGTGTGTTTTACATGCATGGATATAAGTGCACCCATGCATGCAATGCCCACAGAGGCCAAAGAGAGGGCATTAGATCCCCGGCACTGGTTGTTAGCCACCATGTAGGTGTTGGGAGCTGAACCCAGGCCTTCTGTAGGAGCATCCAGTGCTCTAAACTGCTCAGCCATCTCTCCAGTACCAGAAGCAGGTTTTAAACCCAGTTTTCTGCTTTCTATCTGACAGACTTGGATCCCATAGTTTTCAAAAGGCTCACAATAGTTTTAGACTATGAAAGGTGATGACAATAGTATAAGACATTTGGCTGTATCCTATACTAGTTTTATTGGTTTCTGAAGTGCTTTAAACCAGTTTATATTAGTATGGTATATGTGCCACAATTAATGAACCAGTACTGACATATTACTATTAATCAAAGCCTACACTGTGTTTGGATCTTCTTTTTTTTTTTTTTTTTTTACCTAATGTCTTTTTTCTGTTCTAGGATGTCACATTGCTTTTGTTTGTGAGGTCCCAAATTAAGCGTTTTAATGTGACAGACCCTTAGTGTACGGTGATGAGCTAGAGGTCTGAAATCCAGGTGCTGCCCTGAGATCCGTGGAGGAGCACCCTCCTCACCTGACCCTGCCTTCTGGGGGCTTGCTGGCGATCCTTGGCATTCCTTGGTTTGCAGCTGCTGGATTCTGGACTGACTCTAGCATTGTCCCTTGTAATCTTTCTTCTCTTAGGAGGACACCAGCGGTACTTGATAAAGGGCCCACCTTTCCCTAGTATGACCGCTTCTTAAGTAATTGCATCTGTACTAACTCTTTCTAAAAACTCCCTCTCCAAGTCTGGGCTTCAGTAGCTTTTGGGGAGACACAATTCAATCCATTCTAGGCTTTTCTTGGCCATGAAAGTTTCTTATGATATCCTTCCCCTCCTTTTGATGACTTGGACAGTTTTGCAGAGCATTGGCCAGGTATTTATAGAATATTTCTCAAGTTCAATTTGACTATATATTTCACAGTTAGACAAGGGTTCTAGGATATGGGGAGAAAGAACGGAGAGATTAAGAACCATTTTTTGGCATTGCATATCAGACCACATCACTATGACTTATTATTGTGATATTAACTTTGACTTTCTGACTGAGGGAGGTTTGATTAGTTTCTCCACTGCAGAGTCACTATTTTCTGCCTTCCCATACCACACACACACACACACACGTGGTATGTGTGTGTGTGTGTGTGTGTGTGTGTGTGTGTTATTGGTGATTGAATCTGATGCCTTGTACATGTTGGGCAAGGGCTCTCCCACTGAACTGTACCTTCAACCCCATACTTTACTCTTTGGAAGGAATCTGCCATGTGCTGTTTATACCTAAGGGATCGGGAATTATGATCCATGTCTGTGAGGTGAGAGTATTCACATAAATTATTTAGTATGTTTCTTCATAACAGACCTGTTATCCTCACAATTTAGGTATTTTTAAGTAATACATTCATAAAATACGTATTTGTGGTTGCTTATTTTACATTTTGGTCTATTATCCAATACTACTTACTGTTTTGTGGCATTTTTTTTAACACTTCTTTATTCCCTGGCACTACAGTAAAATTCTCCAGACTCATCTTGTATATTTCACACCCTGATTTTAGAATCAAGTAGTTTTTTCAAGGGGCCCTTCTGTACTGGAGAGTGACATACATCAAGGTCTGGACTTCTGGAGTGTTCATTGCTGGGGGGCGTTTCTGTTTCCAGATCAAACAATAATTCTGTGGTGTTTCAGTTCGCTCAGCGGACAATGAGTATAACACGAGTACTTTCATCACAGGTTATTGTCAGGTTAAACTAGAGATCATGTGTGTTAGAGTATCAAGCAGATAACATAAACTAAAAACGCCTATGATTATTTCCCACCCAACTTTCATATTTTGGCAAAGTTTATGCCTCAATAGTTTTTCCTATCTGCTAATTCATCTAATTCAATAACCTCAGGCAAGAGAAGGCAAAGATAATTCTTTCCCTTTAACCAATAGACTGAAATCAACCTTCCCTTCACCAGAATCTGTCTCTTGATTTCAAGACTCGCTCTATCTAGACCGAAACTGGCTGCATCTCTGTACATGAGTGATCTTGATTTTCCCTTCCCACATCTTGTCTACCTCTTGCTTGAACGATGGGTTTTTGCTTTTGTTTTTGGTCATGCCCTTATAGAAAAGATTAACTCACAGCAGAAATAAGGCATATATTCCAATCCCAAACAGGGCGATCTAGACATGGTACAATATTTTCTGAAGTAGGCACTGAACATACAAGCTGAAAAATCCTAATCTAAACATGGGTGGCATTCGAGAAACACAGTCTATGTGCTGAAGCATTGGCTTTATGGGGCATCTTGACAATTTGCAGGAACAATGGCTCACCGTTTTAACACAGAATGGGTTAAAGAAAAACACTAAGACAGGCTTTTGTATCTCTAACACAACCTTCCCATCATAGTCCCTCTCTCTCCATGGTCCAGTGATCTTAATCGGATAGAACAAAATTTTGAAACATGTAAACAACTTACCAAACCCATCAGTGCATGAAAAACATAGAAGCCAAACAGGGATCTCTGACTCGATGCAGATGTTTATTGGAACGAATGTGTTGTTCCCATAAGAACAACAGCTTTTTTGACTAATGAAATCCAGACATGATCATTATTGCTAATACAGTATTTCATGGTATGAAATCACAGCTTTAGTTACACACATTATATTCTGGGAGATGGATTTCAGTTGCTGAGAAGATAGACCATTTTATGGACAGCACATTCTAGAACTGGGATGGGTTGGATCTGATGGTAGTGAGTTTCTCATCCCTAGAAATGTTCAGAAATGAGGCCATGGAGTTAGACAAGGTGGTCCCAATGGTCATGCTATCCTGTTGTTCCCTTGGCTCCAGGAGATCAGGCTCCCTGGGCCATACAGTGTAGCAGCTGTACATCTTACACTTGCAGGACAAGGGGAGGATGAGGTTCCATGGCCCATTAGCCATTTTCTCAAGATAAGGATGAAGTTATAATTTAGAGAAGAAAGACTAAATGGGTCCATTCAGAAGTCAGTATCTGCATGGGAATCCTGAGGCTTTTCAGGTTCTGTTTAGTTCTAACTCTAAGGAGACAGGCTTGTTTGGGATAAACTGGGTCCATCTAGAAGTCAGTATCTGCATGGGAATCCCGAGGCTTTTCAGGTTCTGTTTAAGTTCTAACTCTAAGGAGACAGGCTAGCTTCGTGCTTATTCTCATGCCCTAATACTGCTCTTCTGAATTTATCACTTTTGTGGGAAGACCTGGTGTCATCTGAAGAAAGCCTGATGGACACCAACTCCTGCTCTCCTCCTTGCCGAAGGTCATCTCCTCCTGGCATGCCACCTGGTGTACCTTTCTCTCAAACTCCATACCATAGTAAGGCTTTGCTCTACATACGCAACTCTCCAATATGTACTTGTCAGGGTTCATTTCCATAGTCTAGTCACATTCCTGGCTCCCACTAGGAGCTCCTGGAAGGCATGGGCCACACTCTATTCATTGCAGCAGTCCTGCAGCAGTCAGGACAGCCTCAAACAGGACAGGATCCAGGAAGTGCTGGGAATAGGAAGGTAAAGTGCCTCAGACTGCCTCAGAATAGTTTCAAAACTGTATCACCAGCCTTTGCTGGTGACTAAACTAGAGCTCCAGCTTGCTTGAGAGGTGTCAAATAAAACTGGGTGCCACTGCCATCTCCTTACAGAATAAAGAACAGAGTCCTCAGAGGTAGAATGACTTGCTCATGGGAGCAGAGGCAGGCTGTGAGATGCCTGAGTGTGCAGGCAGGCTGTCCCTGAGTGCTCAACCTTGGGCTTAACACCCACAAGGTTTCACTTGCCACTGTCTTCCTCTTCCACAAGAGACCCAGCTTGACTCCAGCAGCTGCAGTGCAGGTCAAGAGTCAAAATCACCCATGAGGAACAATTCACATAGCACAAGAGACAGGGACTTGGGGCTTTGAAACACTTCTGTCTTGGAACACTGGAGGGGACGAAGTCTCTAGAAGGTGACCCTTCAGAGAGCAAGTGGTGCTTAGAAGGGTGAGGCTTAGGGAGAGGAATCATCAGGGGAATGACTGCTTATGGGGATGTGGGGAAGGAGAGAGCAGGTGCCTGAGACCTAGCCTGCCAGGGCCTGCCTTGTGCAACCTAGGTTTGAAGGAAGAGAAGGAGGCTGGGGCCCAGAGCAGCTCCTCTGCTTAGGAATACGGGAAGATCCTTGGCTGGACTTTGCCTTGGTTATGTCCTTTGGATCCAATGTGTGGTAGACTGAGGAGGGTATCGTGGGAGCAGCAGGAGCATTTTCTCTGCATCTAAGCTCCTTTGAACCTAATAAAAATTTTGCTTATTTGGAGTCTAACTCCTCACAGTAAATACGACTTTATTGGATTCCAGGATGCCACAGCTTGAAGGCCTTTTGAAATGAGGGGAAAGGACTTGCACAGGGTCACATGGAGAGCTGGTAGCAGATGTATGGCTTCCATCCTCCACCCCCACGTTTCCCTCCTAGCTCCTGCTTCTCAGTCATTCACTCCATTTAGTACTTGGTTCAAATTGGGTGTGTGGGGAAGGAGGGATCATGCCACAGGGCTGAAAACTTTATCTCATTCACCTTTTTATGGTATGAGGTTGAGGTTGGGAGAATTGTATTTGGTGTTGAAGCTTAGAGTATTAGGGAGCAGATCAAAGAGATTGCCAAGGTGGAAGGAGGGCTGTACCACTAATCATCCCTGAGACTCTGCCTGGTAGACACATGGACCTTCTGCCAAGACACATTTATGGAATATGTAGTCCACGCACTTGGTTGAGTACTATGCATATATTAGTTTTCTCCTCATCATACTTTTATGAGGTAGGTAAGGTGTACCACTTTCATCTCATGGCTGAAGAAACAGGCTTAAAGAAGTGAGGTCAGCCGTGGAGCATTGCAAATCTTCTAAGTGATGGAGCCTGGATTCAGACTTTTGCTCTGACACTCTTCTACTTTGCCTCTATAAGAAGTTGGAAAAAGGACAGAGACACCCCTTTTATCAGGGTGGGCTGAATGAGGGGTGAAAGGCTGCTTGCATCCGCTGATCATCTTCTGTTAGTGACTGACCACCCAAGGGGTGGGAGCTGAACTCAGTTTCTCACCCCCGTGACCCTGTGGATCCAGTCCTTGTTGTGGTAGATGTCAGAATACACCCCATAGCGGTCCTTCTTCCCACAATCCTCACCCCAGGACACTGTGCCCACCAGGTACCACTGGTTTTTCTGGTCATCCTTAGTCACCATGGGGCCTCCAGAGTCACCTGCACAAGCGTCTTTTCCTCCTAGATGAAAAGGAGGGGCAGGTAAAGTAAAGGGCGGGCTTCCCAGCACAAACCCACGTCTGACTTGTAGTTTATGGAATCTGGCACTAGAGGGTGCAGCAGACCATTGGATCCAAACCTTTGCTCTGGGTCAGGCCTCAGAGCGAGGTGATTCTAAGTGTTGGTTCAGGAAGGGCAGCTAGCAGTTTCTTAGCTTTCTTCCCTCCCTAGGCCCCTGCTGGCTTTGACCTTCCCAGGGAGGCAACGACTATACTGTGTGTCAGCTTTTCCACTTACCTTCCTTCTCCCCAGCACAGATCATGTCCTTGGTCACTTTCTTCTTCGATGGGGCATAGGCTTCCTGACAGGTGTCGTAGTTAACAATGGGGATTTCAATCTGGAACACAAGGCTATCGTTTAGTGTAGTCCCCACTCCTGGCTGAGGAGGCACCACTATTACGACAGCTTTCAAACTGGTCTCCAATTACATTTCACTTGGTCTGAGGAACTGCTCTGTGGTAGGGACAACTGAATGAAAACCAGGAGACTCATGTTCTGCTATAGCCTCAGCTAAGAACTTGCTGTGTGACCTTGGTCAAGTAACTTTCCCCGTCTGAAACTCAGTTCTCTCATCTGTAAAATGGAGATAATAATACTGGCCTAGCATATACATATTTCAAATAGGATAATGTGAAGAAAGCCCATGGTTAGTTTGTAAATACTTACACCATCCCTACTATGGAACCTGAGGTATGTGACTTAATCTGTTCCTTAAATGGCTGACACTATTATGCCTCATTAGAAAAATGGAAATCATAGTGTTTGACCTACTAATGACACGGAGTTTTACAAAGAGGAAATGAATGATCAAGCGCTTTGTACAGGGAACAGATATTTGGTGCTGAATAAATCCTAATTACTTCATAGATTACCGTGGCTTGCTGTGCCGGCCTTCACCTATGGTTTTCCCTCACTAAAGGATGAACTCCTAGACAGTCTGTATTTTGCCTATTTCTATCTCAAATACCTTGGAAGATGGTAGATATTCAGAAAATGCTTTTTTGAATTGAGGTAACAAATTGATATATAAAAGTAAAGTATTGTGATGATTATTGCTTTTGATTCAGTATGGGGATAAATGTTGGAGTAGAAGTTTGGAATCTAAGGGAGGGAGCATACAAATCTCATTCAGCTAAATCAAGACCAAATGGATCATGTGCTCCAAACATAAACTTTCTGTTGGCCCTTATTACAAGGGAATGGAGACTATGCAGATTCTCCTTGGGCCACAGTCTACCTGGGAAAGTGGGGACAGGAAACCAGGTCAGGAGGACAAGTTTTCAGCACATGAAGTCCCTGATTAACTTCTATTCATAAGCAACCTTTGGGAAGCTGTTCTGAACCTACAAGATGAAGTCAGATCTCCCCTTGCATATCCTAGAGCATCCGATAACCTCTTCCGGTCTGTCTGACTGCTTGATATGGAGCCCAGCAACCATATTGCTCCTTTTACCCATTCTCCTCCCAGGCACACATAAGAGCTTGTTCATCGGAAACAGCCAATAAATGAAGCAATGAATGGTTGTTACACATTCAAAATGTTGAAGTATGATAAAATAGCATGAAGGGTTTAGAACACAGGCAGTTCATAGAACCTGGTGATGGCAGATCCAGGAAGTTATCAGAGGAAGTTTAGTGTTGCTTCTAACCTTGTAAGTTTGATGTTATACCTTATAACCTAGAAGGGACAAATGACTTGTTTCAGAGAAACCAAGAAAATAGTAGGAGCCCAGATTTGGAGCCATGGCTCCTTAGACCTAGTTCAATGTTCTCTTCTGAAACAACAGCAATGTGAGCTTCAAGTGAAGCAGTCAAGTTTACTTCTGCAAGAACTGTGCTTCTCAGCGCCTGGCCCATTCTTGCTAATCTGGTATGTAATCTCCATGGTGTATAGATGAATCATGAACCTGCTGGGTGCCCAGACTTGCTATGTTCTGGGAGAATTTCCATACTGAGCCTTTTACAAGCTATCAGGGACATTGAATAGTATTTAGAGACTAGAGTCCATGACCAGCAAAACAAAGACATCAAACTTTCTGGGAGTCAGAATTGTGTAGGTAAGTCTGGCCCTTCATCTCTCTTACCACTCCCTCTTCAAAGCCTCCAAATTCCGGAGGTGGCAGTGTATATGAGGAAGACCCAATGCATGGCCAAAGTGTCGCTGCCTATAAGATATCAATGAAACCTCACCTCCATGAGGTTCTCTGGAAACCTCTGCAAGAACTGTTTCCCCCAGCCACTGACGATGACCATGGTTCCTAGAGGAGGGAAGAAATTGTGAGGAGAGAGAGGCTGTGTGGTGTGTACTGAGGGTTGGCCCTGGCAGCTCCATCCTCCTCTGCGGGGAGAAGAAAGGCTGGATTTGCTACCTCAGGGAAAGGCAGTAAGTGGGGAAGAAGGGGGAAGTCTGCTGGGGTGGAGGCCATTTGTCTCTATGATACATTACCTGATCTCTTTGTTTGCCTACCCTCCACTCTTCTGCCAGCTAGCAGGGAACCTGGGCACTGTACCATTTCACCTCTCTTGTTTACTGTTGTATCCCCCTTGTCTATAACTAGTGCTAGTGTATAGGAGATGCCCAGTGAACAACTGTGAATAAATAAAAAGCCCATCCTAGTCAACAATATGTCTGGCTGTCTTTTCTCCTCTTTCCCTACTCTAAGCCCCAGACTCTCCATCCATAAGATGAAGAGGCTAGACTTGGTATTCTCTAATACTGGCTCTGACATTCTAGAAGCTAATATAGTTGATAGATCTGGGGGCAATGTGGGAATGAGCAATTGTATTCCTATTTATTAACTGTATATACTAATGTACTAATATAATTGATGGATTGTATTATTATTTAATAAATAGCCCTGGATACTGAAAATAGTACCAGGCTTGACGTGAGACAGCACGGACACTAGCTCCGTCTTCTTCTAATGACCTATATCTTGGGTGAGCCATTTCCCTTTGCTGAGCCTCAGTTTTTTCTTTTCTTAAACGGTGCTGCAATGCCGAAGCTTTGTACAGGCTTTCAGGAGTAAATAACCTAATGAACACTGGCAATTGACACATTGGAAATGCATCGTGCCTGATTAATTAGAGCCTGCACTACTTGCACGGGTCCTTTTGGCTCAGTTCAACACTTCTCAAATTGCATCTCAGCATTTGCTTTTAACCTCTTTAAGGTACAGGAAGTGAGTGGCGATAGGGCCCCACTGAACTCCAGTGGAAAACAAGGCCGGCGGCATGGGTTGGCCTCCCTGTCTGGGCTGCATATGCTCCATTTATAATATTTCACTTGAATATCATGGCCAGCCTTGGGGGTTTTGTGTCCAGTTTAGAGGTGAGAGAGGGAACTGGGGCTTAAAAGGCTGTCTGTGGGATAAATTCAACCTTACCTCCATCAGGTTCTCTGGAAACCTCTCTAAGATCTGCTTCCCCTGGCCAAGATCACTCACCAGGAAATCTCAGCAACGGAATTTGAGCTGTGCTGGTGATGAAGCTGCCTGCTTCTCGGCTTCAGCTTGCTCAGTTCAGCTTGTGCGTCTATCGCTCCTTTGTCTTTGTAGCTAAGGGATGGGATCCAGGGCCCTGTGCACACTAGGCACCACTCCATCACTGAGCTCCATTGTTAGCCTGAGCTATACCCCTCAGCCATCCCTCTGTATTTTGTGATTAAATGGCAGTTTTTTCTTGACGAACTGGGTTTCCTGAAACAGGAGCCACTTTCAGGGAGGCTGACTGAGCTTCTCTTACTGTTCATATCACTCTAGGTTTTCAACCCAGTAGTGGAAACTGGTTCCAACCACTTTCCTTAGCACATCATCACCTTCTGTAGAAGTCTGTCTCCAAAGGGCCCCCTTTCTAAGCTTCTGGGCCCCGTAACTCCAGCTTTGTACGTCAGGCCCTGCCCCTAGGCTACATGTAACAATTTTCCTTTCTTGGTACTCCTCTCCTTTCCCAGGTTTCCCCTTTTACTGATTTAGTTCATCAATACTCTCTCTATTAAACTCTCTCTATTATAATCACAAGTTTGGTTTTTGTTTTTCTTATCTGGAAAACAGATCTGCCTGTTGATTCTGTGCCTAATACTGTTTGTGCTACCTTGGAACTAGTTCTGATTTTGTTTGAGGGGAAGCAGCTGGAGAACCACGCAGACAGTATGAGTTGAGGTGTCTCATCAGAGCCTCACCAACTCTGGAGAACTCCTGGCCAAAGTCCCGGCTGTGCTACAGAGGTGGGATTAGGGGTGGGGGGAGGTACCTTCCTGGGAGGGTTCCTCAGGCAGACAGATAGGCATCACAAAGTTATTCAGCCTTGGGCTCTCCAGCAGCTCCACCAGACCCAGGTCATTCTCAAATGTGCTGGGGTCATACAGTGGGTGTAGGATGATGTGTTTGACCCCTAGATGCTGCTCATCCTCATCTGAGCGGCGCCTCCAATGCTTTCCTAGGCAAGAGGAAGTATGTGAGGCGCGACGGCAGTGCCGATCCCACCGACTTAGAATGCTGCTTCTGATGTCTGTTGCGGCCACCGCGTTGACACAATCACCCTTCAGTGCCTAGGTCATGCATTGCCCCCTCTGTCAAGCTCTCAGGGGCTTCCTTTAGAAGCTTCCCCCGTACGATGGCCCAGGCTCAAAGACAAATACTGATGTTCTCACTCACTCACAAGTGCCTCCTAGCTCCTGTTAAACATGTGTATGTATGTGGAAGAAAATATGAGTAAAGGCTAGAAAACTAAACAGGGGCCCATATGAATAGAAAATAGAGAGGCTCTAAGGGATGGAGGAGGCACCAAGGTGGAAGGGGAGCTAGAGGGGGGCAGGAAGGGGAAGGTAAGTGGAGGCGGGAGGAGAGCCAGCTGGAATGAGGTACATACGAAAACCCCATCTGGAAAGAGCATTTTGTAAGCTAATTTAAAAAATAAAATAATCAATTCATTAATTCAGTTAGTTAAAAGTACTTCTCAGAGCAGAATTTTATATTCAAAAACCTGATATGCATAAGAAAGTTTTCCTCCATGATCGCCTGTGGCACAACAAATGAAAGAATGCAGGAGATCCAGCTGGGGAGGGGGCTCTGGGAAGGGCAATGCGGAAGGGGGCAGAAAGGTGATTGAGATGTTCTGTATCAAATACACAATTTGATTTTGTTCCTAACCAGAAAGTGCTGCTCAGATGGAAGACTTCAAATCTTGGTCTCCAATACTGTAGTGCCCACCTGTAGCTAAGGGAGACAACCAGCTATTGTTCTAAAATGATGGATAAATTTGTTTTCTCCCCCTATCTAGAAGCCTTTGAGAGGGAACTGACACTGATTCTAGCCATTCCCCCAACAGCTATCAAAATACCTGAAAGCAAATCCTGAATCCATCACTCTAGAGTCCAGCCTTGGCAGACAAAAAAAAAAATGAGGAGGAACCCAATAGAGGGATGGTTTCAGAAGCCCTTCTCAAGAAACTCCAGTGGACACTCATATGAACATTTGAAAATTGTCCTGTTTTGACTTTTCTCTAGTTCCCTGTCTAGAACTTGAAATGCTAATTACTCTTGCCTTTACTTCTCATTCATACACACACAAAAAAGTTATGCAATTTGGGAGTCTTTTAGATAGACCCACTGAAGGGGTATACCAATTGCCTCATCCTGCATCCCTGTTCAGCATGGAAGAAGCCAGAGCGGTCTGCATCTCAATTTCCTATCCACAATTTGGGGAACCTCTTCAGAGGATGGTGTGATAAGAATAGGAGGTAGGAATTGGCTAGGCAGTTAGGGTTAAAAGACCCCAAAGAAAAGTAGCCAGTTTCTTGGCTAAAAGTCACAATGTCCTTGGGCCTCTTAGCAACATACTCCATTACAAAGGCCAAAAATGTCTAAGGTATTTGGGAGCTTTTATATAATCCTTTAAAGATTTTAGGGTTACCTCTTCAGAGGGGGGAATGTTAGAGTAGCCAAAAGCCCCATTTAAAAAAAAAAAAAAAAAAAAAGAAAGAGTACATGAAGTTGTCAGGAAAAAGTGATGGGGAGATATGGGAAGAGTTGGAGGGGAGGGAGTGGGCATGGATTTGATCAAAACACTTTATATGCATGTATGAAATTCCCAATAAATTATTTTAAAAGTACACAAAATTCAATTAAAATTCACAGAAACTCCTTTACCGCTTCCTATCTTACAATAGAGGGTGATGCACTGGTTTCATCCCCTTATTGAATGGAAGCCTCTTTTGGATAGAAACTAGGTCTTAATTATATATCCTGGATCCTTAGATCCTGATAGAGTGTTGAACTGAATTGAACCATCTGGTGTTCTTTACTCTGTAAAAGAAAATGGCAGTAGCAGAATTCTGTTCTAAGAACAACGTGCTTTAGAAGTCAGCGTGGCCCTCACTCACCCATGATGATTTTGAAGTCAGAAGGACTCAGCAAATATGAGCTCTGTAGGGTTGGATCCTCTGGATCAACTGGCTGGTGGAGGCAGTGAGCAGCAGTCACGATCCAGTTGGTGCCTGAGGACCAGAACACACACATACTGTGTCCTGCCTCCAGCTGTCTCAAGTAAGGACTTTAACACTACTCAAGAGCACTGCCCAAGACCCTGATCATGCCCAAAGCCCTCTCCATTACATTCATGGTCCCAAGTCAGACACTTAAATGATCCTCACTTGGAGACTGGGAGTTAGGCCTGTGATTTTAGTTTCCAATTTCAACACAGGCCAGGGTTGGATGTTTTTAAGAGGGCTTCTGGGCTTGCTTAAGCCCATGGCATGGGTGAGTGCCAGATAGCCCAGGGCAGGTCTACAAAAACTCTGTGCCCACTGGCTGCCCTTCACCTTTGCTTCTTCAGTAGCGACTCCACAAGGAGCATTAGCATCACCTACAAATGCCTTAGAAGGGAAGACTGTCAGAGCCCACCCGAGGTCTACCGAATCAGAGCCTGACTTTAGCAAGATCTCCAAGTAGTTCTGTGCATGTGACAGCTTGGCAAGTACCGAGGAGAAGGGTTAATAGCTGGCTATTTGATTGTACATTGGAGCCTGGGGAACTAGGTATTCAATATTAGGGTCTGTATTCAGGCCACTAGAGTTAGGAGGTGAGGCCCAGCACAGACACATATTAAAGGTTCCTTAGGTAATTTGACTGCCATCAAGGTTGGGAACCACTGCTCAGATTCAGCCCTCTCTTTTATAACCATGGACTTGAGGCCTTCAGGATAGCAGTGTGACCAGAGTTACAGTACGTGAGTGGTACCTGGTCTCTTGATCGGTAGCCTAGTGTACTTTTTGGGTCTTGGCTGTCATCTTCCCCTGGATGCCTATACTCCTGGCATTTGTTAAACGTAGGGTCAAACTTCTGGCCTTCCTTTCATGGGAGCTGATAGTAAGTTCACAAGTAGTTGAGCCCTTGGATATACCCAGGGGGACCCAAGCAGAAAACAAGGCTCTAGGCCAGGGTTTGGGGCTAAGAATCACTACTACAGGTTTTAGTTGAGTCAAGGACAGACGTGCTTTTTGGAACAGCGTTCAGGCCCCACTTGTTCCTCTCCGAGGTGACCATGGGCTCTGACTCCTGGCTCTGGACATAACTCCACACATAACTCTCTTTTTACCTCAGGCATTTCTCACACCTGTTGGAGTGATTTCTCAGGTTGGTAAGGTGGGCTGAGGTACCCAGGTTAGGAAATCTTGCCTCAGAGCAGGGTTCTGGGATATCTAGACGAGCCCAGGGGCATGTGCTGGCCTGCTCGGAGACGTTGTTCCACCTCTGAGCTCTGCTAGTCCCCCCACCTGACCTCCCTGTGGACACTGAGATGCTGCTCGGCCACCTTCTCAGTTTCTTAGCATCTTTCAAGTTTCTCTATGCTCTCATCCATCACTCCTTCTACCACATAGAATGTCAGGAGCAGAGATGACAGATCTGAGGTGCTATGGGGAAGGCCAAGCATGAGGTAGAGAAGTGAATTCAAACCTAAGTCACGGAGAGTAAATATACAACAAATTCCAATCCAGGAGAAGCATTACTGACTTTAAAAGTCAGTGTGAAAAACCTGCTTTAAAGTCTTAAAGCAATGGGATGTAATCTATCTCTGCCCACTTCCTAACAAATTTGGAAGTGTGACAAGCACCTTCTGCCCACACTTTCTTACCATCTTGCTGTGCCTTCTGCTTCCTCACCCAGAGTTCCTTCCTCCCATTCTTTCTTCCTGGTTTCCCGTCTCAGGCCCCACCAGTCTCTTTTTCTCAAATCGTTTCTTTTCTCTTTTCTTTTTCTGTCTTTGGTCCCCTCTCTTAGGCTTTAAGTCTCTCATTCTCTGCCTCTTTTCTGGCTTGCTCTGTCATCGGCACTATCCCTCTGTTTATCTCCATTTCCCTTCACTTGATTGGTCCTCTTGCATGTCCCCCTCCCCACTGGACTGGCCAGAATATGTCCAGAAACCTATATCAGAATCCAGGATAAGATCTAAGTTCCAAGCATGCATTCAAGGCCTTTTAAAATCCTCTTTCCTTGATTCGCCAGGGGCTGGCTTCCCCCCTTCTCCCTGATCTCCTGTCTCTGGCATCTCCTGCCTTTGTGTCACATGTATGTGCTGCTGTTTGCGGTCCATGTTCAACAGTCTGTCATGGTCAGAGACAGACCAGGATTCAGGAAATGTTCCACAGCTGAAGTAGTCAGAAGAGGAACCTGCATGTCCTGCCTCCTGCTGAGAACTGTCTTCCATACTTTCGGAGACAGTGATTCTCAAAGAAGAAACCTCAGCCAGTCTCCAGGAGTAGCTTGGTCCTTAGCTGCCACCATGCCCCCAGTCCAGGGTCCTTTACCTCTTTACCTTGTCCTTACCTAGCAGGCTACCTCCACAGAAGGGCTGCCCATTCAGGTGTGACAGCATAGCAATCCAGGGGGTGGTGCCCTTCTGGGCTGGGCTTCCATTGAAGATCCTGGAGATCTGCTTCCGGGAGAACTTGGGGAGACCACACACTGCAGCCAAGGAAGGGAGGGACCGATCACACTGTGTGTCCCACCTTACCCACTGCCAGGGTTATCCACTCATCATCCTGTTAGGAACACCTGTTTGCTGTTGGATGTTCCAGCATCCATGAGAAAAACAAGCCGATTTTTCTTTTGGTTTCTGAACTTTCCCCATTCTTGGTTTAAGTAACCTGAGGATGACTGACCTCAACTCTGCTTTCAGGAGTAGGAATGTGACTCGTCACAGCGCTGGCTCCTTGGTCACAGGCAGCATCTCAAAAATGAGATGTGACCTTGGATAGGTCTCTCTCTCTCTCCTCTCTCTTTCTCTTTTTCTCTTTCTCTCTCTCCTGGTGTTGGTTTTCTATGGCTCAGGAAAATGGAAAGTCATTCTCTGCCAGGGTTGCTGAGCTGTTGACACAGGGCCAGATCTGCCAGCCTCCCCCTCATGGAGAACCTGCTGAGAAGGCAGCTACCAGCACAGAGGAAAGCAGAGCTGGAAGACAGGAGCTGAGCAGAAATAAGAGTGAGTAAAACCGGGTGTAGAGCTCTGGCATGAACCTAGTCGGAAAGCTTTGGCATGGTCTCTTCTGTTCTCTCTCTCTCTCTCCTCTCTCTTTCTCTCTCTCCTGGTGTTGGTTTTCTATGGCTCAGAAATATGAGTCCTAATAAAGAAGCCTTACACTCCTGGGACGTCTTGTCCTCAGAGAAGTCTTGCCTCAGACTTCCTCACCGCACAGTGAAGGTCTTGCTGCCCTGTCCCTTCATCCCCTGCCTGCCATTGATGCAGATTCACAAACACACAGCTGAATGCCCTTAGAGATCATCCAGTGTATTCTTGTCACGCAGCTCAAGTAGCCAAGACCTAGAGTAAGAACTCGACCTGCCAAAAGGTATTCTATGAGCTAGTAGCAACAATTCTGGATCTCCTGACCCTAGCTCTGGGCTTGTTCCACCTGAGGAGCACTACTAACTCCCAACAGTGTGATGTCCAGGGCCCTCAGACCTCGTGCCTGGATCCAGGCAGTCACCTGCCATTTCTGTAGCTACCATTGGGCTAAATTACAAATGCACTGTACTTTTGATCACATCCTTCACATCTTTGCACATGCCTTTAGCCAGCTTACCCTGCTAACTTCCTGCCCCATTCCCAGCAGACACTCAGAGACCATCGGGAGGACACCGTGATGCCTTCCCCACTGTCTTCCTCTTGTTAGTTTTTCTCTCTTTGAAGCAGTCCTGTGCTCTGGATCTCCTCACTTCTAAACTGAGACCTGCCTTGGGGACTGTGGCCCTTCTCCTGTATTCTCCATCTCACCCTCTCATAAAACACGCTCAGTCTTCCCTGGAAGTGGGCTTCCTTTTCCTTGACGCCCTTCATCCCACAGCCTCTCCTTCTCTTCCCTTGCAATCAACCTTCTCTGAGAGCGAGAGGACACTGCCTTCACATTCTTCCCTCTGCCTTCGAACTGGATTTAGAAGAAAGTGACATTTACTGATCGCATTTGGAAATAAGGCAGCCATTGGAATACTCAATAGCTCTAAACTCACAGGTGGCTTTGCACCATAAATGGAACCTCAGCAGTGATATCTACATGTATGAGAGAACACTGTTTCTGAAATCGTATCCAATGTATTCTCCATTCTTAGGAACTCCTCTTTCTATATGGTTCCTCAACCATTGAAACTAGAACAAATCAGAAACCAAAATCTAGAAATACTTTCCTTTGAAGTTAGGCACTGTGGTAAGAATGAAAGCTTTGTTAGTTTTAAGGGAACAAAGCCTGGCGCACTGAGCATGCAAATTTTACTGTATGCCAGATGAGGCTAGTGCAGCTTCCAGCCTCTGAGGGAAGGGTTAAAAGCCTTCTCTGGAAGGAGGGAGAGGGTTTCCTAGGAAGAAGGAGAGGCAGGGTGGAGGGAAAGAAAGTGCTAGGCAGTTTAAACACAGCAGGCAGCCTGCTCCCTGAGAGAGAGTGCCTCTGGCATGATGGTGTCAACTTAATCCCTACTCCAGAAGAGTCCACCAGAGGCCCTTACCACAATGATCAGGCACATCGGAAGGACAACTACTTCACCACTCTGTACAGTTGTTTTCCTTGACTCCCTAAGCACTTTCCTTTTGCCTTTGATCCTGCCTTGGGCGGGGGGGGGGGGCGCGTCTCTTTTATTCATGCTGTCCGTGCTGATGTCTGCCTTGTCCAGCCTTTGCCTTTCCGTTATTTTCTGAAAATTTCCACTAGATGATGCCTTTTCTCCCATGCCATATTCTATCTATTGATAAATATCAAATACTGTCTTTAAATGTGCTCTGTCCTCTGAAAAATCTTTTGTAAATATTCCAGAGCTCCATTCATGTCTACACTGACCACACGCTGGCACCTCCCCTTTCTTTCACTTTGACCTCATTAAGCTGATGGAACATTACTTGAGCAGGGAAGGGTCTTTCTGCCTCATGTCGTGGCGTGCTCGCCATGTAACTTCAGTGTTTCCACATGCTACAGTGTAAAGTCTACATAGCTGGAGGAAAGTACAAATCAGAAATATGGGAAAACACAAGACATGGTTGTCCTTGACACCAGCAATATGTGACACTTTCGAAGCATAATCTAGAATTGTTTTTATTCTCATAATGTAAAGCATGGCACAAAGCATGATGCAAACCCCAAACGAAGGCAAACCATGACTGTCCCACGAAGAGCCTCCACTGTTCCTTCAGCTCAGCATCCCCTAAGTTCACTCCTGTGGCCCAAGCTCTGCTGAACACACCACTTCAGAGGATTTAAACCACCTTGTTTGCAGGTTCACAACCCTATGTCCGGTGGGGCTTCCCTGAGTCTCCCCCAAATCCTTGCAGAAATTCTCTGGGACTCAGGGCCCTCTCTGCCTCTTTCCGTGCTATGCTGTCTGCCTTCATATATTTGAATTCTGATACCAGAATTTTCAGGGGGTGAGACAGACAATCTACATTTGTAAACAAGTACCAGAATGTGATTCTAGAGAATTCCTGGCTAGAGGATGGTCCAGAGTACAGCGTTAAGATTGTCCTAGACTCCCGATGCCCATGGCTCCTTCAACCAAAGCCTGTTTTCTTGCACCAATCCCTCTGTCCACTCTGTCCCTCTCTCACCCTCCTGTGTGTCTCCAAAGCCTCTGCAAAGTCATTCTGATCTCCTTCAGCTATACAGTCATGCTCTCTTTTGTTAAATTCCCACAATACTTCAAGCTCATTCCTTTTGTGACTTAGGTCTTTTGCCTGTATAGAACCTATATGCACATAGCCCAATATGAGTTTTTCGAAGCCAAGGGCTTAACTAGCAGGCATGTATGAGGAAAACTGAAGCGTCATTTCTGAGAAGGAAGTGTATCAGTAGCCAGTAACCACCTCCTTTTCTCATTACCTCCTCCTGGATACTGTTTGGATGCCGGAAGTTCTGTCTATAATGGGGGAGATTTTTTTAAATTAAGGGCCAGTTTCTCTTCAGAAGGTCAAAACGAACACACTTCAAACATAACCAGCAAACTCCCAAACCAAAGCTATTGGTCATCCACAGATTTATTTGCACCGTAGACCCATGACAAGAGAACCAGAGTGCAGAGGCCCCTTACATAGTAGCAAAGCCTATGATATTAAATATACAAAATATAATATCCTCTACATGTGCCATTCTTAGATATAAGAGTGTGTTTTGATGAATCAATAGGAAAAGCGGACATTTCCCAGTTCCATCCAAATCCCTCTCCGGAGTTTCCCCTACTGCCTTTGACTGACAGAGTTTCTTAGTAGAGTGAGCTCTATAGAGAACAATCAGCCTGTGAGAGCATGGAGAGAGGCTCCCGGCAGTCAGGGAGGTTCTCAGTGAGAGAACTGAATACCCCAAAGGGGATCTTGTGATTTTGCCTTACAGACAAGAGAACTGAGGCTCAGAGAAGAAAATGATTTCCCAAGGGTTATCAGATGCCAGTTGAAGGTAGAGCTAGGGATAGCTCTCAGGACTCTGCTTCCTTTGACCTTGGTTCAGGAGTGCTGAAAAGTGGATCCCTTGGAGCATGCTTCTGGGTGGTTCTCTGCTGAGCTCAGGTCCCAGGGTAGAGGATAGTCTGGTAGACCGGAGTGGTTCCTAAAGTCCTGAGTCGGCCTGTTCTTCTCTGCCCAGAAGCACAGTGGGAGCACGGTTAGGATCATCTCTTTCTCTAAGTAGCAGCCAAGTCTCCATATATGTGGCGAGTATCAGGTAGTGTTTAGATGATACATTCCAGGGCTGGAAGGTTGCTTGCTGCATGTCTGGAGTGTCAGGTGTTGACATCTTATGGTGTCAGCTGGTATTTAAGAGTGGCACATGGGCCCAAATGATATGTTCTGAGTGGATAGTAGGAGTTGGGGGAGGGGAGCCATTACCAATCTTCCTCAGTCACCAGAAGCCTTCCCAACCCTGTCTCCATTGCTTGAAATCCCTTTCAAAAGGAATTCTTGCTGTAAGAAGCTTGGGCTCTAACTCCAGGGAGAAAAGTGCTCCTAGGTAATATACCACAAGAGACAGCTTCAGTCCCTCAAACCTGAGTGGTTCTCTCCTAGATGAGGAACTAGGTTTGGTACAAGCCTAGAGGCCAGAGCTGGGCAAATATGTGGATATAGTCTTCAGTTGAGGGAATCATTTTCTAAATATCAAGTCTAGGCTTTTTATATCAGTATTGGGCCCAATGAGCTTGATAAGTGACAGGAATGATTAAAACTAACCCTGGAGAGGAATGTTGGACTGGACCAGGAGCCTCCTGGACCAAGTCCCCTCCAGCGCTGGAAAGAATGAGGCTAAGTGAAAGGGACTTGGCTGAAGCCTTAGACTGAGCTCTCTTGACTAGAGACCTTTCCCTAGACCACACTATTACCTCTCAGTCCTGCGTCCTGGGGGCTATCTCAGGAGAATCAGTGCCCAGGTAGGTCCTTAATGTGCTTGTTTACTTGGTCTGGTAGGTAACATGGAGTGTGCTGTTGGAAGTTGTGATGTAGC